ATTTAGACAAACTATCCATTAGAGTATGATGTAGAATTTAAATTAAACTCATTCTCAAAGCATAGATCACAATTCGATTTTGTACAAAACACTGAACAAAATCTATAAGATGACGAGAAGCATACAAATGTGTGCATCAAATTCAAAAAATGCTTTTTCTAAGTCTCCACAGGTACAAATTTTTAACCATAAATCACTGTTATAACTAAAAAAACATAATAATCTACTAACTAAAAAATTTCAGTCACTAATCAACTACTTTTGATTTTCGTCACTTTCAGTTTGTTAAGATTACTCAATAGATTATGAGATTTTGTATAGTCTTTGGGTATGAGCCATGATCTAGGGGGTTCACTAGGCACTTATCACCACTAGTGCTAGTGAGATTTTCTGTATTTATGCATATTTGAAAGTTTTATATATATTTAAACGTACTCAACTTACAACGTGAATGGGACATTCATTATAATCATCATAAAACTAAATTACAATTCGTATAACAAAGTGAGTACTTCGAAAGTGATATTACATAATCTATATAGTGTGTCTTACTTCGTGTTTACATAGGCTGTGAAGTTCATAGATCCTCAAATAAGATTTGCTGCGACATATGGGAGACAAAAGCATGATTTCAAATTATCAATGTTATCGGAGAAAACTTTAGCAAAAGTCACTGAGTTGGCTTCAAAAAGATTTGCATCCGACTAATTATAGTCAGGTTTGTGCTTATATTGTCAGATTTTGAATTTCACTTACTTGTCCTGATAATGTTATATCTCCAATTTGAACGTGGTGATGCACTCAGTGACTTCGTAAAAGAAGTGAAAGTTGCATTTGCAAAAATGGGCAATCAAGCAGGGCATGTGCATCATTCCCATACTACAGTGAGAAAGGAGGTAACATTGATTTGCTATGGCTGAGCTTACCTCAAGTGACCTCAATTTAGTGTATGCTTGCACAAGAGATAAGACCTTGATGATCGACGTCGAAGCTCGCCAAATCTCTGAGAAGGATCTGCAGATGCTCTAAAGCTAGCTCACCCAGAGGTAATCTATATAGACTGTTGTTGGACTTGATTGTTGGACTTGAGATAATCTATATAGTGACTTGCTTCGTGTTTACACAGGCGGTGAAGTTTATACATCCTCAACTCAGATTTGCTGCCAAATATGGAAGACGAAAGCATGGTTTCAAATTATCAAAAGTCACCGAGTTGGCTTCAAAGAGATTTGCATCCGACCTTAACAATATGTCATACAGTCAGGTTCGGTTCATGATTATATTGTCAGATTTTGAATTTCATATACTTGTTCTGATAATGTTATATCTCCAGTTTGAACGTGGTGACGGACTCAATGACATCGTAGAAGGAGTGAAAGCAAAAATGGGCAATCAAGAAAGCATGAGCATCATTGCATCAACCGTTAGAAACGAGGTAACATTTTGGAACTATGTTAACCATCAAATATGAGATCATCAAAGAGAAATAATCAATTCGTTTCACTGTTAACCATAGAAAAAATCAATTCGTTTCACAACTATGTGTTAAAAGCTTTTCCATTTTTACTTTTGTTCTTCAGGTAGTTCGCTCAAGGATGATCTCAGATGGACTTCGAGTCGACGGGAGACGACTTGATGAAATTAGGCCAATCTACTGCAAGAATCACTACTTACCTGCATTACGCGGGTCAGGGCTTTCCTAACCGGATCACGGTTAGACTAGGCCGACCAGCCGATCCGTTCCGGATTTCAAAACATAGATCTAACTACAA